TTTGCTAAATGTTCTGTCTCTGTAGAGGACTAAGTTTAGCAGGCTTGATCTTGGAAGATAAACATTCTGGTAATGTAGGTTTTCCTCTGCGTTGAACTTACTGTTTGCTTTGGGGGGTTGGGAGTCCATTTGTTCTTGTAAAGAAAAAGACCGAAGAAAATTGTGTGTGTTTTTAACACTCACCTTGAATGGTCAGTAATGCTGAATCTTGAGCAGCTTCTGCAACAAGAGGAGGCTCACAGTGAAGGGAATTAATTGCTGAGTCTAATCTGAAGCAGATATTGTGGGGGATTCTGTGACCTCTGCAGTCGGAGACAGTTTGTATTGCCCTGTGCTGGTTTGGAGAAGTGATGCTGAGAAGCTTGTGCCGCCGCCTTCTTTATTAGAAATACATGAGCTCCTATCTTAAACTGTCTCTGCTAGATCCTCTTCTGTACTTCATTAGCATCTTTTTTTTTTTTGTTCCACTGCACTAAGGAACTTCTGCTTCTTATTTACTGTTGGTTTAGTATGTATGAGTACCTTCTATAACAAAGCGTTAGGCTGCCTAAACACGTGCATTGCCGTCACCTTCCACTATATTAGTAGGAGAAGAGCAGTTGTGACTAGAAAGTGGGGATGGCTTTTAAATGAGTGCTTTTTGTGTGTTCGTACCATCACAGTAATCCGTTTTTATTTGTGGTTTGAGTACCAGAGTGACTCAGGTTTTTTTTTTCTGTGGTACTTTCTTTTACCTAATGATGTTTTACTGCCTTATGTAGTTCTCATGATAGCAGGAATTAAATAATAATGTGTTCCAGAAATTACCATCATAGTTTCCTTTAAAATAGTTTTATTTTTTTCATGCAACTATTTAGCTTCACAGGATATTAGAGGCAGAAACCACTTTACTTGGACTGAGAGGATGTCTCCTGGTGGATTCTCCTCGTTGTTACAGACCCACAGTATGATTCTGGGAAGATCATTAGCAGCTTTGTGTTTTCATTTGTTCATGCATAATAAACAGACAGAAAAGACAGCTACTGTTCGACTTGTGCGAATTCCTTAGTCTCGCCCGTGCTCCTAGAGGTTGTGCCTGATGAGGTGCCCTCGCGGAGGCCGCTCTCCCCTCTGCTCAATGACTCTCGGTGGTCTTGCGAAGGCACCTCCAGGGAAGTGCCGCCTGCGGTTGTGGCAGCATCGGTCCCTGTGGTCGGGTGGAGGAGATGGGGAAGATGCCACCCGCTGCCAGCGGCGCTGAGCCGCGGTGGGCTCTGCAGTGCCACGCTGGTTGTGCTTCTGCTGCCAGGCTGAGCCTCCGGCTGGAGGCAGCTCCAGCTAAGGAATCTATTCCTTGAAGGATTTACCTTCTCAATAATGTATGTTCATGACTACTTCTGGTACTCCTGCATCTGGAAGCTGCTGTCATTTGCTCCGAATATGATGAAAGAGTGGAAACTACACAACATTTGGTATTTTATTGTCCTTGGTGCAAGCCGGTCACCAGGAAACACATTCGGAAAGAGACAGAAGCCACCTCTGAAAATACACCTGGAAACTGGAGTACTTTATTTGATATGTTGTACCCTTAAACTTGGTGTTGTTTAACAAATGAACTGTTTTGTTGTACAAGCAACATGACCAGTGTTTAAACTGAGATCTAGTTTAAACTAAGAGATCACCTGGGCTGAGTCAGTGTACTGTCACCGGTAGGTTGAGCTCAGTGGTTCAAAATAGTAAGTTTTGGGAGCAAAATTGTTTCCTTCACTGTCTGCATTAGACACTGTAATAAAGGAGGAACTCAAGGAAAACAGTCGGGCTTTCTGCTGAGAGATTCATGTTTTCTAATCTGGTTATGTTTGTGACTAACTGATCAGATTAATTTATTCCAGTCCGTGTCCTGCTGCTTTCGTTCTTAATGCTGATGGGAATTGGCTGTATTTAATACATCACAATGAATTCAGTCACTTAGCGGTCAATGCAGCCAGTTTGATTTTGTCAGAACTGTAGCAGGAAGCTATTGAAGCTAAGGACACAGCAGGATTCCTCAAAGTTCCTGTAAATGTATATAGATTAAAGCAACATCTGTTGCTGTTACAGCCGACGGCTTTGAAAGGGGTGGCATTTTAAATTGTGTGTGGGTGCGTGTGTGCTTGTGGGGTTGTTTGCTTGTTTGTTAACACAGTTTCCAAGGATCACAGGTCAGGATGATCTCTGACAACATAAAGAGAATGTCACTGGAGTCCTTGCACTGGGGCTGCTGTTCACCCTCTGACATTCAGCCTGGGTTGGCTCTCTAATGCGTTTCTTAATTTATGATTGTTCATTTCATCAGATACTTCTGAAACTTATGTATGGGAGTTCTTTAGACTTAGCCCTGTGTTTCCTTGCGCATTGCTGTTCAGCTGATTTCTGAAATTTTTGACATGTTTGAACTCCTTTTAGGCCCCAGGTAAAGGTTATTAATTTTTTTGTTAACAGAATATTGCTCAGGTTAAGATATTCCACGCTCCTTATATACAATGAGCATTTTGTAAGACTGCATTGGATTTTCTTGCCTGTAGTGACTCTGAACCATTGGTTTTAAGTTGTATAAAATAAAATTTTCCGCTCTTCTGGTAATTTCCAGGAACAAAGGCTAATGTGGGAGTAAGAACACTGTGAAAATTCGTTAGTTGCTCTGACTTTAATGGTTGGAAAAATTACTCAGTAGTTTTTAGGTTTGCCCAGCGAGAAGAATCTCGCACAATGGCGATGCGTTTGTTGACTTCAGTGGGTTTCAGGAGTAGGCAGAAATATAAGTTCTTGGAATTAAAGAAGCTGCTGAAACTACAGAGGGGAAAAAAAGTAGGTGAAGGTGAAAGGAAATGTGAGAAGAACGGTATTTCCTTTGGCTTCTTTTATTTTCCTACAGCAGTTCAACTCTACCTGTGAGTCACGGTGTCTCTGGGTCGTTACCTGTGCTGTCCCTGGCACGGCAGTACCTCCGGCCATCTGCGGCCTGCCGGTGACTAATCGGCTTTCTCAGGGTTTCCTCACCTTTGTGTTTGAACACCTACTCATGTAATAGCTGCTGAATCTTCATTTTCTGTTCCTGCAACTTCCTGGGTCGTGGAAAACTGACCAAATGATGAAGTTTATGATCAAATACACACAGATGTGTGAGTTATGGCACTGCTTGGCATGAAACAACGTGTTCAGCTCCAGCATTTGGGCTGTTGCTCAAAGTAGAACAATTTTCCTGCCAGTAATTGAGAGTATATGAAGTTGCTGTTTGTAAATTTGATTGAAGTATCAAAGAAGTATGCCAGTGCATTTAAGGATGTACTGCATATGGAATGAATTTTCAAGGATTCAGAAATTTGCTTTTTGTAGTGCTTTTCATAATAATAATAAGTCAAGCTAAGACTTATGAGCTTATATTAGCAGGAGAACTATATAAAGGGTGACTACACAGATGAAATTAACAAAGTTTTTGGTTTCGTCTGCTGTAGACAGGACAAAACCCAGTACACTTACTGATACAAAGGAGATTTGAGGTGCATATTAGGAAAAACATTTTAATGATGAAAATTGTGAAGCAGCGTAATGAGATTGCCCGAGTAAAACGTGGAGACTTCTTCAGTAGAGAAGTTTAGAAGCAGTTTGGACTAACACCAGTCAGAAAAAAAAAAAAAAAGAGTATAATCATTAGGAAGAAAAGAGATCAGTAGTTTCTAATTTGATGGTTTTCTACTGTTGTTGTTTGACTTCAGAAAAAAAAAAGAGGAAAAGTCTAAAGACCGTTCTGATGCTGGCGACAGGATATCAGTTTGCAACTTGCTTCCCTTTCCACCTAAAAATATGCCTCAGCTTGCTCTGGTAATGTATTTAAGCCCTGCAGTTGTTGTGTTGTGGTAACAATATGTGATATTCTTAACCTTTTTCTGTCTGCAGGACTAAAAATGGATGACACCAGTCTCAATTATAGTAGTCTAAACCTTTAACGAATATTTCCAAGTACTTTGTATATTACCCAATGTACATGTTGCCTGTTGCCAAATATTATTACTGCAGAATTCACAACTGTCTTGTGATCAGACTTGTACAAAGATACTCTTGCTGAGTTTTTGAGGGCCCTTGGGAGCGAGTAGGTCATAGATGACAAAAACGGTTACTGACTGCAAATGACTGGCTGAGGAAAATAAGGAACGTAGAAAGTTAAATGAGGAGACGGGGTGTACCAGAATCAGTGGAACTAGGACTTTTTGCAGCTCACTTTAAATAATAGCCTTTATAATGAGAAGGCTTAAACCTATTTTTCTTTGTTATTTTATATGGCCTGAAGTTGACAGTCTGGGAAGGTGGCTCTGCCAATAGTGACCGTTCTGTTGCTAAAATAAATTGTGCTCCCCACTAATTTCAGTGATCGTACCTAGCTCCAAAGACTCATCCTTTCCTTCCCATTTATGAACAATTTGCAGCCTGCAGGTAGCTGGATATAGAGGTTTGGGAGCAGATGTACCCGTGCAAGTTCTTTGATTTGAAGAGGATTTATACATTCTTCCACTGTTTGTGTGCACATGTACTTCCGTGTGATCTTCATATCAAACTTCAGATAAACCGGTCATCTTCACATTCACACCTGCCACCTATTCAGATAAACATCCTTACCTGGTAACTGTGCTTGGTGTTATAGAATTAAATAGTATGGCCAAGGAGGACAAACTTGTGAATATGTGGAACGCAGCATACGGAAATAGACTACAACTACTCTTATGCCAGAAGAAGGCAATATGTCTTCTATAAGACATTCTTCGTAGGGAACGGTATGCTTTATCAGGCTCTTTTCTCTTACTTCTGTACCCCCAAAGAAGTCAACAGATAAACAATTTACTTTGAGTCTGATTCTGCATTCATAATTTGATTATTCCCCCCCCCCCCCCCCCCCACACTGACATATAATTTCTCCCTCCCTCCTCCCCTCCCAGATTTCTTTCCTTGGATCAAAATCTTTTGGAAGAAGAAGTCCTGACAGTCCCATGTTAAGCAAAGCTGAATTTGTTGAGAAAGTTCGCCAGAGCAACCAGGCTTGCCATGATGGTGATTTTCATACAGCAATCGTGTTGTACAATGAGGCTTTGGGAGTTGACCCTCAGAACTGCATCCTCTACAGTAATCGTTCGGCAGCCTACATGAAAATCCAACAGTATGACAAGGCCCTGGATGACGCAATCAAGGCACGACTTCTAAATCCCAAATGGCCAAAGGTAAGAAAGTGTATTTGTCTTCTGGGGAAGGAGTAACATTGCGCTTATTATTCACATACATAACACCTAATGTAAACAAGTGAATATATTTCCGTACTAAAGTCTGTTTTTGTTAAAAGCTCCAGATAGTAATATCTTTTGTGTTTAAAAGATGTTTGACTTGAATTTCCTGTTGGGTATTAAACTGTTTTCTCTGTAAACATACTTTTTCCCTGACGGGGGTATGATACTATTTTACTGTTTTAAATCGGTGTCGTTTCTGGGTTGTGAAGACCAGACATCTCTCTTAATGTTAAACGTAGACAGCTTTCAGTAGCATCCAGGAACACTTTGTTGCAAAATTTCTTGAGGTAGCATGGAGATTCTTGTTAATAACAGAGCCATAAAGCCTTTCAAAGTAGCATTCAAAGAGTGTTTATGTGTTGTATATTTTGGATAAACATTTGAAGAAATGTGTATCCTAGCATTCTTAGTAAGATCTGACTATGCAAGGAAACATTTTGTAAAGAGTAGATGGTGTTGGTTGCCTGTTCCTTCCGGGGTTGCATCCCACCAGCTGCAACCGATTGCTCCAGGAACTGACTCGCCCACAGCTCACCCAGCGCCGGCCCTTTACCTGCTTATCAATTTTAATAGCATCTGCTCCAGAATCCATTTCTCCTGTCAATCCCTCACACAGTCTTAACTAGACACTTTAGCTAAAGGTGCAATTTCAGAGTGGATTCATCACCCAGGTTCCTCGCCTCAGAAATTATGGCAAGCATCATGCTCTCCATCAGCTGGACTCCAAACTATTGAAGTTAAGTTTTCTTTTATTTCAAAGCAGGTCACTATAAATCTTGTATTCTGTTTATCAGTTGTTTATTAGCTTCTAGAAAAGCCTTGTCATATGCTCCTTTAAGACTTTGTTAATTGCTCTATCCATACTCTAAACACAAATCCAAACTCTGCTCGTTATCAGCTCCTTGTGTTGAGGTTGTGTTGTACACCTTTAAATCACCGTTGCCTGTTCTCCCTTTTTTGCATCGGTTGTTGCCTGTGTCTTGTCCAGATATTTAGTAGTCCATTAACTACAAATATGAGTCTTAGTCTAGTGGGCAACTGCTTAGCAGTTACATTTCCAAACTTACCAGCATTTCATTTGCCGTGCTGCAGTAGGTAGATGCACTGTTATTTCATGCCTGCATATTTCCACGTGGAAAGTGGAAGCTGTTATATAAAAATACATATATAAAATAGTGTTCTTTCCACTCAGAACGCAGGATGTTTTTCCTAGGTACGTGTATACGGTTTGAGGATTCAGTGCTGTGAAAGCTTCTGCTGTTTCTGCAGCTGCCGAGACATCATCTTGCTAACTGAGGCATGTGTCTGCTCATTCCACCTCAGAAGGAATGACAGGGATTGCAACACCTGAGCATGTTTGAAGGCAAAAGGCTGGTGGTGTCTTTTCATCAGTACAATCTGTGTGCACAGTGTCGCTTTTGTCTCAGCCGTCAGTCATGTGCGAGCTGTGACAGCTTGTCTGCTGGACCGCCAGGCATGTCTGCCTCTGGTAATTCTCTCATTCTCTCACCAGGAGAGAGAGCATCCTGCAGGTATTTGAATTTGGTGCATCTTTCTGCAAGAAAGGAGCCTGACTTGTCATCTCCCTCCCCCCAGTCAAAATTTGGTATCTTAACTCTGGAATTTCTGGAGTCAAGAAACTGCAATTTTACACAAACTTTCTCACTCTAGGTTTCTCTCTTTAGTGAGACCAGGAACAGCTTTGGAAAATTGTTATTGAAAGTGTTTTCTAAAGCTCTGCGTGCTCATCATCACAAGAGGAGCACCATGGGCCAGGGGAGATCCTTCCCTTTTGTTGATCCTATTTTTTGCAGTTGCCATCCTGAATTGCAGCACTTTAATTTGTGGTTTATTTTCACATTTTATTTTCATGGTTAACTTTTGTACTTTTTCTTCTCACTTTTATACTGCTGTTTAATCTTTCTTAAAGAGCTTTAATGCGTTCTCCCTGTTATTTTTGCTAAGCCTGTCTGCAATTTACTGTTTACAGTACACATTAAAAAGAAACTCCTGATTTGGCAGGGAGATGATTTATAAGCTTGTAAGTTTTTGCTTTTCTTGCTTTTTTTTTTTTGTCATTAGCTTCTGTCTTGTATTACTGAATGTCTTTGAAGATTTTGCATAGATTTCTTTTAAACGCAGTCCTTCATAGAATAAAATTACGTTATTGTCATTAAACTCTAGATTTCCAGGTCTGTTGTCTGAATGCAGGGAGTTAGAGTATAAAAGCAGGGGTGCTTTTGCTTAGTTTTGTATCCTGTTTCGAAGAAGTCTGGTAGTGATTTACTATACAGCTCACTTAGATGGAAAGTTATGAAAAGACTTCATAAAAGAATACTTTCAAAATGCCAGTCACAGATAGAAGTATAACAAGACCTTGGAAATGAACCATTGGAATAGATTTGTGGATCAAAATAGAAAATAAGATGGAATAGAAGATTTACTAGCTAAAGGTTAGCTGTGTTAAATGAAGCTGTTATCATCAGTCTGTTAAGTACAGAAATAATAGACTATATATTGATGCAGCACTAAGGTGGAACAGTTTAAAAAAAGACCCAACAAAACCCATTTTTGGTAATGAAAAAATGAGACTTTTTTAGGTAGACTATATTATTGAGTTAAAAACATGAAATAACTCAGGTTTGGTTCTAGTTCTGCTATTAAATGTCCACCTGACCTTGAGCAAACCTTATTTCTTTGTTTAGTTTTTTTTACAAAAAGGTGAGGAGTCACTTTTACAGAACATTTTGTGCCTTATTGGTGGAAAAAGTAGTGCAAGATCTAATAATAATATTGTTATGATGACATAGCATCTTTTCTTGCTTTATTGGATCAATGCGTAAGGGATATCTTCCTCCATGATACAAAACGTTTATATACTTAGAAAGTTACTATCAGAAATAGAGGTGTCAAAGTAACTTTTCCAGGCTTTCTGTCCTGTGTAAAGCTCATCCTCAGTCCCTGTTTGTATCTTTCCTTTAATCTTTTCACAGTGGTATCTTTAGTTTGTCAGATTTTTAGTGCTTCCTCTTTTCTCCCCAACCACCAGAATCCCATTTGGAGCCCTATCTTCTGGGTTTTAATTTTAATGACTGTTTTTGTTATTCTAGATTTGCTCCTACAACATATACTTTTAAAAATCAGTCAGTACCAATTAAAAAAAAAAAAAAAAGAGGGCTTGTTTTTTCTTCAGCTATACGTGGTGCATCAGTGGGAATTATGCTTTTATAAAAAAACAAAATAATCTAATTGACATGAGAAGCAAAGCCCAAATAGGGCTCCTTTGGAACATTCCTATTTATGTTCTTGAATGGCACCCGAATAAGAGAATATGTAGATGAATCAGAGCTGCTGTCTTGCAGCAGAAGTACTGTATGTCTACAATTGATATTCAAGAAAAACATGCTTCTCCCCTTACCCTCGCACCACCACCATCACAAAAAAAAAAAAAATTTTGAATTTTGGGCATTTTCTAAAAAATTCCATATGTTGAAGTATGTCTTTCTGGCATCTATTTGACCTGGAGTGAAAAAAATTATTTATAATAACTGCTGTTATTATAAACTTGTGCTGTGAAATAGTATAGTCTTGGTTCATGATCCGTACTGGTCCTGAGGCAGTTTGTTGGATGACTTCTGTATGGATTCCACCACTTCTTCCTTCTGTTCCAGCCCAAAGTCGGCTGGTATCTGTTTAGCCTTTTCCATGGTGATCGGCCAATAAATGTCCCACAGGTCCACAACCAGCTGAACTTGAAGCTTGGCCCGTCCCTCAGGACAGGGCTGTGAGATGGACTTGGCTCTCGCTGCCTGACCACTGGCACGGGAGTGTTCCCACGCTGCAACGCCAGCGAGCTGCCTTCCGTCCCGGAGCCCACACGTCACGGATTCGAAGCCAAGCTTGTAGCAGAGCTGAGGAATAAATCATATGAATACAAGTATTTAGAATTGTTGGGTTTAAGGCTAATGAGTTTTGCAAGGGTTGTATAATCACGTACGCGATGGGAGCAGGTAGTCTAACAATGAGGTTTCACGTGGATCATCAGCTCATCCCGTGTTTCACCACAGAGGCTGGGTCTGGGTCATGTCCACTGTGACAGCAGGTGTATTTCAAGTCTGGTCTGCAACGAGATCTGATCTTTTATTGCCATGGTTCTTTTAAGCTTTTGTATGTAAAAACAGATCTTGGATTTCACTTGGGCCGAAGGTATAGTAATGGATGGCATAAACATGAAATGTATTTCCCGTCAGGGCCTTTCGTTAGCTGGACGGAAGGTCAAGAAGGTGTTGAACAGGAAAAGATTTGTAGAGGTCAGAGTTTGACTGCACTGTTTGCCTTCATTTACACAGTTATGACCAAAGTCTCATAGAAATGGCTTGGTAGGGAGTGCATCTTGGCTTTTTAAAAGGAGCCATCCTGCTACTACAGTAATTGAGATAATGAAAACCCACAGCTGAATTATTTTTTTATCCTCTGTGTGTTGATTCCATCTGGAATTGTGATTTTCACACTCTTCTACACAGTACTTCCCTTTTGCTTTGAATTGTTGTTTCCACAGAAATCATCTGCAATGACTTAGGTTTTAGAAGAAAATGAAAAATTTTGCCAAGCTCTGTTTGTCATTAATTTGGCTGCTCCACAATGAGAGTGACTGTTGGCTTAAGACATCTGTATCTACAAATTGAGGCCAGTCGCTGCCACTACATCTTCATTCTGTTTCCTGAATTTGTGTTAGTTTGGTGAGGACTAGTTGCTCTAGTTGCTGAATTTGAGTCTGCAAGTCCCATCCCAAGGAGGAGTTCTCTGTTCAGTATTCATTTTCAAGAATTCAGCCCTCTGTCTTGTTTTCTCCATTGTGGATTTGTTAATTTTGTTTTACGTGCCCTTTCCTGTTCCTGGTGAGTGTCCATTTTTTCCCAGTTTCCCTGATTCTCCAA